TTATCACAAGTACGATTTTTATACTGATATTTATTCTTATTTTATTGTATGTTATAGTTAATTTTAACCAAGGTCTAGCCTCAGTTTTGCCTAGTTTGTAAATTCAATAGGAACTAACTTGTACTGACCATTTATAAAAATGAGAATGTTAATGTTTCAGTTTGGTAAGAGTATGTGAGAAACTTGCTGCACCCGTAAGTGACCCACTTGAAATATGTAGTCCGTGCTAAATAAATAAATAATAAAGTATTGTTGCTGTGACGGTAAAAATTATATGTTTATTGTATATATGAAATAAAATTATTCAATCCAAATAATGTTGATCTGTAACTAACTGATCAATGCATTTACTCACAGCAGACAGAGAAAGAGGAAAAACAAAGGAATCTGCATAACTGTGTTTATAAGCTGTTGATCAGGTTCAGTGACTACACTCTAGCAATCACTAGCTTCCACTGCTGAATTAACAACTAAGTGTAGGAGAATATCATGTCATGTCTGTTCCCACTCAACAAGACAGGGTCTCGTGCACATTCAGCAATCAGAATTAAACAGACACTGATATGCAATGACATTCTGTACTTATGGCACTGAGTTCACTGCCTGTTAGTTGGCAAGGTCAGCAACAGTAAGAAACTCCAATATCTTGGTGCACTCTACAAACATGCGGCATGAAACACATACTAAAACAGTCTTATTTACATGTAATACTGTAGCATGCTACAAGTAACAAATTGTTCCTTTAGTCTAAACCCATATCTGGTGCTCTATGATTTGCTATACACATCAACATGTATTTGCTGATGTGTCTTCAGATTACTTTTCCAACTGAATGACCTATTAGATACATCACATCTAAACGGTTGCTCCCTACTATGTAGGAGCTAATGTAACTTCAGATTATTGTGAAAACTGAATGACTTATTACACACTTTACAGCAAAATGGCTGCTCCCCACTATGTATGCGCTGAAGCGGCCTCCGTAGTCTAGAGGTAATGTTCCCACCTCATGACTCTTAGTACGCGGGTTCAAAAACCCGGCGGAGGTCGTCGAATTTTTAAGGGCGGAAAAATTCAGGGAACAAGTCCTCCAGGAGGGACTTTAAGCTGTGGGTACCGTGTCGTAGATTTACGACATGTAATATAACCTCATGTCTCTAGGAGACCTCTGAGCAAAATTAGGCAACGTTTCCCGCCCAAGTAGTTTCCAATTCCTCCGGTAGATGGGGGAAGTATTAGGTTCCACTGCCAGAGGAGAGGGGACGTCTCTGACAGAAAGGGACTAACTATTAGATACCACTGCCAGAGGAGGTTGGAACCTTGCTGGCAGAAAGGGGCTGCTAGTAAGCACCAGTATCGGTAGGGTAAGGAGACAGTAGAAATTAAAGGGGGACGCACAATGGACCACTAACCGGTCTAAGTGCATGGGCAAACCCACCCCCTCAATATGGAATTCGGAAATGTATGCGTTGATGTGCCGTCAGATGCCTTTGCATGCTGAATGGCTTATTAGAAACATCACATATAAATGGCTGCTCCCCAATATGTATATGCTGATGTGTCTTCAGATGAATGAATGACACACTGCACACATCACAGAAAAATTGTGAGTCCCCTGTATGTATGCGCTGATGAGTCTTCAGATTACTGTGCCAACTGAATGACTTATTATATAAATTTCACCTGAATGGCTGCTCCCCAGTATGTATATGCTGATGTGTCTTCAGTGTACTCTGATCTCTGAATGACTTATTACACACATCACATCTAAATGGCCGGTCCCCAGTATGTATGCGCTGATGTCTCTTCAGTGTACTCAGAACACTGAATGAGTTACTACATACATCACATCTAAACGGCCGCTCCCCAGTATGTATGCGCTGATGTCTCTTCAGTGTACTCAGAACACTGAATGAGTTACTACATACATCACATCTAAACGGCCGCTCCCCAGTATGTATGCGCTGATGTCTCTTCAGTGTACTCAGAACACTGAATGAGTTACTACATACATCACATCTAAATGGCCGCTCCCCACTATGTATGCGCTGATGTATCTTCAGATAACTCTGACAATTGAATGACTTATTACACACATCACAGCAGAATGGCCGGTCCCCAGTATGTATGCGCTGATGTGTCATCAGATGACTCTGAACACGGAATGACTTACTACATACATCACATCTAAATGGCTGCTCCCCAGTATGTATGTGCTGATGTCTCTTCAGTGTACTCTGAACACTGAATGACTTACTACATACATCACATCTAAATGGCCGCTCCGCACTCTGTATGCGCTGATGTGTCTTCAGATGACTCTGACAATTGAACGACTTATTACACACATCACATCTAAATGGCCGCTCCCCAGTATGTATGCGCTGATGTGTCTTCAGTGTACCCTGTTGACTGAATGACTTATTACACACATCACAGCAGAATGGCCGCTCACCAGTATGTATGCGCTTATGTGTCATCAGATGACCCTGAACACGGAATGACTTACTACATACATCACATCTAAATGGCCGCTCCCCAGTATGTATGCGCTGATGTGTCTTCAGTGTACCCTGTTCACTGAATGACTTATTACACACATCACAGCAGAATGGCCGCTTGCCAGTATGTATGCGCTGATGCGTCTTCAGATTACTGAGACACCTGAATGACTTACTACATAAATTACACCCGAATGGCCGCTCCTCAGTATGTATACGCTGATGTGTCTTCAGTGTACTCTGATTACTGAATGACTTATTACACACATCACATCTAAATGGCCGCTCCCCAGTATGTATGCGCTGATGTGTCTTCAGTGTACCCTGATCACTGAATGACTTATTACACATATCACAGCAGAATGGCCGCTTGCCAGTATGTCTGCGCTGATGTGTCCTCAGATGACTCTGAAAACTGAATGACTTATTACATAAATTACACCTGAATGGCTGCTCCCCAGTATGTAAACGCTGATGTGTCTTCAGTGTACTCGGATCACTGAATGACTTATTACACACAACACAGCAGAATGGCTGCTCCCCAGTATGTCTGCGCTGATGGCTCTTCAGACGACTCTGAAAACTGAATGACTTATTACATAAATTACACCTGAATGGCTGCTCACCAGTATGTATCCGCTGATGTGTCTTCAGTGTACTCTGATTACTGAATGACTTATTACACACATCACAGAACAATGGCCACTGCCCAGTATGTATGCACTGATGTGTCTTCAGTGTACTCTGATCACTGAATGACTTATTACATAAATTACACCTGAATGGCTGCTCCCCAGTATGTATACGCTGATGTGTCTTCAGTGTACTCTGATCACTTAATGACTTAGTACATACACTGCAACAAAATGGGTGCCCACAACTGTGTATGAGTTGATGTGCTTCCAGAATTCGCTCTTGACTGAATGAATCACCACACTCAACACAGGAATATCGTCGGTCCTCACGATGTACAGGTTGTAGTTCATTTGAAGTGCTCTGAAAAAGAGTGGAAATAGCATGAAAAATCCTAGTAGGAGGAGGAATGAATTTGAAGCTCCAGTACAAAATCGAAAGGTGTGAGAGGGATGACTGAGAGGAGAGAAGATGGAGGTAAATAAAATCACACATTTCTAAGTCTCCTAAAATGACATAACAATAAAGGCTGCATTAAAAATAACATTAAGATACGCTGCATATGACCCAGTTTAATCCATGGAAAAATATAGACAAAAGGCCTCAAAAGAATAACAGAGTGTCAATTCAACAGACATGGCCATCCTGATACCATGAACAAATCAATGTGAGTCATCTCCTAGGATGCCATCCAACATTCCCTGACAATGAAAACATTTGGGTTTTGTCAGAAAATGACCAATACTTCCAGATGTGTGTAACAATCATGCACACACCACACTGCATAGCAACAGTGCATATGTCTGGCAATTGCGCCTCATTTGAAAACATGTAAGCATAATTTTCTGCTTCCTGATAGAACCAAATGACTGCCACACCAGAATACCAAGGCTGAACTGACTGCAATTCGTTATGCTGTGTTGGTCCACATTTTTGCCAGGATGAGATGAAAGGCTAAAGCCAGAAACATTACCACCCAGAGGTTGTTCTGCTGACAAACTCCCAAAGAACACAGCTTCGCTGGCAGCTGCATGCAATGGCGGTGCAGTAGCAATAAAGAAACTGAGAAATCAGCCCTATGCTCCAAAGTTGGAGCAAGAGAAGGGGGAAGAAGTCATTTTTCCCTAAATTTGCCACCACCAGGTAGTGGTCAGTATCACAATCTGCTGCTCTGAATGATCAGACTTCAAGTATACTTCAATGCCACCTCCAATCTACCAAAATATGGTCAATTTCGTTGTGTGTCTTTCCATCAGGAGATATCCAAGTAGATCTATGAGTGTGATGATGTAGGAACATTGTACTTTTGACAATTTTTTTTGGGATGTGGCAGGATTTACTACTGCAATGCCAGTATCATTATTACTTTCGTGCAAAACTCCCATTCCCAATTGTTGGTTTGAATATTTCTTTGCTACCTACTATGGCATTGAAATGTCCTAACAAGATTTTCATATGATACTTCGAGAATCTATTAAATACATGTTCTAGTTCCTCGTACAACCTGTCCTTTCTTTTATTGCTAGTAGGTTGGCAGTAGGTCCCTTGTACTGCGGCCACTTCTGGCCTATTGTACCAGCCCCAGATGATAGTTGAGGGTGATTGTGGAGCAATTGGTGGAATGAAGATCAGCAGGGGAAACCGAAGTACTCGGAGAAAACCTGCCCCAGCACCACTTTGTCCACCACAAATCCCACTTGACCAGACCCGGGATCGAACCCGGACCGCCGCGGTGGAAAGCCAGTGGCTAACCGCTTCAGCTATGTCGTGGCCGAGAACCTGTCCTTTATATCATCGATTTTATACTCTGTTGGTTCATGAACGTTCAGAACAATATCACATCAGTGACCTCTTAGAATCATGTACAACTAACAAACTCTATCCTCTTAACTACCGATATGATTCTCTTATGTATGAAAAATCTGTACTTAATTCATGATTCTCATTCCCCTTTCCATAGCAAAATGTATATTTGCCTGCTGGTTCAGTGCCACTTCCGTCCCATCTGAGCTCCTGGACTCACACTAACTGCAACTTATATTTTGATATTTTTTCTGCCACTGCCCTATACATACTTCTCACACTCCTTGTCGCAAAGGAAACTTTGCTATGTCCCTTACTGCACCCAAAATTCCTTACAGACCGCTGCTGTAACTCCCGATAGCAGAATGAGTCATGACGTCCGCCGGGTTTGAACCCTCGTACCTTGAGTCATGAGGTGGGAACGTTACCCCTAGACTACGGAGGCCTCTGCACTGTACACTTAGTGTAGTGCTATGTTTCAGCTCTTGTGTTTCATGCAAAGTAATTCTTTTGATATGAAATTAAAGAGAAAGTTTCTGGCTATCATTTCGTATATTCATTGTCCCACTTTGAACTTCCCACGTTATTTGTATTTCATTTGATTTCTTTGAAGAAGTTTTGTACTTTGCCACGTAGCGTGCTCTATTACTATACAAACCTATATCCACCTTGTAGAATAGTACTGAACTAAACATGCTAGTTCGATAGTGTGTGCTCCTTGTGCATGTTGATAGAACTGAAATTTGATTCTCTTCAGGCAGAATTTGACAAGTGCTGCTTCTAGATTGGAATTTGTAACTGCAAGAAACTGAGAAACCACGTGTAGAACTTACGACATGTAGGATACGTGATGTTGACTTTAAAAGAAGTTTGTTACTACTGCTATGTTGGATACATTAAACAGCTTCCTATATGAATGCCTCTTTGTACATTCCCCTTTGTTCCATAAATAGCATCATGCAGTTAGCATGTAACACCTATGGCTAGCGCAAGCAAGAAACCTTTAGCTGTGCTGATTGAGGAAGAGTTGGAAAATTTGCTTCAAAGCAATTCTGAGCAAAGTCTGTCAGGTTCGGATTTTGACACTGAGAATGAGTTGGATCAGTGGTTCTCAAATGTTTTACCTCTGAGCCCCCCCTGTGAAGAGAAAATACTCTCAGGCCCCCAGCCTGTTTTTTTTATCAAAATATAAGTCATGGTATGTATGTTTGACGTTTCATTCACTTTATTTTGTGTTTTTCTACATACTACTTAGCAGTTTTCTTACTCAAACTTAAAGTATCACAATACTAGGCCTACAATAAAAATTAGTTTTAACACTTGCAATTAACCAAAATGTGCACTGAAATGAAACGATATTTAACTAACAAGTATTTAATTTTTTTTTTGCAAAGAACATCAAACATTTAAATGTCAAAGTTCAGTGTGATGGATGGGCTTGCTTTAGAGAACAAAGTTTATCAAAACGTGGAGTAATATCAGATATGGCCACTCCAACTTCTTTAGCAATATTTAGCCTTGAATGATTCTTTGACTTTATAGCTGCCAAAGCAGAAAACCCTGTCTCGCATAAGTAAGTTGTTGCGAAAGGAATCAGGATTTTCAATGCTTTTTTGGCTCAAAGTTTGGAATTCCGTGCCAATATGTATCCAGAACTCCAGCAAAGACAATTCCTTAAATTTACTTTTTAATGAAGTATCACTAGTGAGATGGATGAGTTGTTCTTGCTCATTTACATTCAGAGATGATGGCCCAGGAGCATTTTTGAATGGATTTTTAATCCAATTAAATTTATGAAAATCATTGCAAAAGTATTTTTCAAAATGAACTTTCAACATTACGAGATGATCAAGTAGGCAGCTTTTTATGTCCATTGGAAGCATTGGATTATCAGTGTCTTGTACCATTGACACCAGAGTAGGGAACATGTCTAGCATGTCACTTTCCATACTGTTTCTCCAGAGCTCTAATTTTCTCATGAATGCCTTCACTTTGTCATTCCAAGAAAGTACAGTTGCCTCATTCCCTTGAAGTGAAGTGCTGAGGATATTTAGTTTCTCAAATATATCTGTGAGGTAAGCCATTTTCAATAAAAAATCCTTGTTGCAGAAACTGTCTGCCAGTGAGGGGTTTTCCCCATTTAAAAAACAGAACATCTCATGCCTCAGCTTAAACATTCTCTTTAATATCTTGCCTCTTGAAAGCCAATGAGCATCACTAAAAAATGACAGAGCAGTGTGTTTGGCACTCATTTCCACACACAGCATTTTAAAAATTCTAGATTTCAGAGGATGCGGCTGCTGCCGAACTATCAACGCTGTCTCTGGCATATGTGTTTTATAATTGCCGGTAAAGAGAATAATTATTAGTTACTTTGAAATTCATGATAATTAAAGCCTGTACTCATCAAAAGTTTTTCTATATGTATTTTTATTTTTTGTTACTATTTTAATTGATTTAGGGCAGTTTTAATTTTTATCTGTAAGAAAGTATGCTGCGCCCCCCTTCAAGCCCTTCACGCCCTCCCCCATTGGGGTTGCGCCCCACAGTTTGAGAACCACTGAGTTAGATGATCGTGCCTTGCTTGTTGCTGTGCGAAATGAGGACAGTGATGAAGATGATGACAGCGCTACTCAAGACTTTATTTGGGAAAATATGGAGAACTACAGGGGACAGTGGGAAAATTTCAAGGGTAGTGTCAGAGCTCGAGGTCCTATGAAACGTTCACGGAAATTGTGGATGTTTTTGAGTTTTTTCAACAAAGAACTTATTGACACTATAGGCACAGAAACAAACAGGTACACGGAGCAGTTCCTATGTGGGCGTGAACTATCAGTCAGGTCGCATGCTAGGGCATGGAAACCTGTGACAGAGGACGAAATTTATGTTGTGTTGGGTTTGTTCCTGCTCATGGGTATTATACAGAAACCTACTCTTTGGTCATATTTTACAATGAAAAGAGTAATTTCCACACTGAGATTTAGAGACATTATAACACGAGACAGATTGGAGTTAATATTGTGACATGTTGAGCTATGGATGACGCCCCTTGCCCCCCCCCGGCCAGCCGTGATGCGCCGAGCGAAGCCGAAGTGAGCCGAGGTTAGCCGAGTCCTA